TGGCATTTTGAAAAAAACATTATTCTTGGTATGAGCATGAAACAGTGCCAGAGGGCTAAAATAGCAGTTAGGAAATTAGTTGACTTCTTGAAGGTAATCAAACACATCCCACTGCTCCTCTGGTATTGCTGAAATGGGCCCACTGCAGGTGCCTGGAAGAAGATAATGACATGGTGGCAAATTAGTCTTCAACTGACACATTCAAGTGACAAGCTTACACTTTTTTAGCAGCTAATAGTCTATGTTTGTGCTGCTATTGTCTATAAATAATTTTGATGGACATAATCCTTAAGAGTGTTCTTTCTAAAGCCAAGAATTAACATTTAGTATGACATGGGAATTCTTCCTGTATTGGCTGATATGGTGTTAATTGGTACATTTCTTGATAAAGTTGGCATGTTTTCAATTGGGGCAGCAAGTGGCATAAGAGATCATTTTATTAGTTAGGTGGCAGGTGGGATATTCCTTAGGAGGGATACTACTGTTGTACCTTGGAGAATAACAATTTAAAAGGTTGTAAATGCCCATCCTGGACACTGCACATGCTGAGCAAGTTGAATAAAAACATTTTAAGAGCAAATAAATAATGCAATTCAGAAAGAAAGGGGAGAATTTTTTAGTGGTTGAGTACCTTGCCTCCACTGACCTCCCTTAGCCCGTCGCGATACTCCTGGCTGGTTTCCAGGCACAAATGTCCTGTCCCATGACCTGCTGAGGCTTCACTGGAAGAGAAGCAATGCCATGGGGAAGATCTGTCCAATTAAGCAGAAGGATTGCATAAGTGCTCATGAGACGGCGAGCATCTCTCTCTGTCCGGCCGTGTGCCATGCCTCTACGCAAGTTCCCTCCCAGTATTAGAACAAGAGGTCATAAAGCGGAAAACACCCAGGGGAACCAAAACGATGTTTACAGCATTTGTTATTTTTACCACTTTTCTCCTTTTGTCGTCGATTGCGCTTTTCAAAAATGGCACAAAGAGCTAAATATGTGTCCTTGTAACTTGCCAGTTTAAGTCCCCTGAAGTAAAAGGTGGAAATGTGGTCATCTAGTGAACGTTACTGTTCTTCGGAAAAAGCACGCCTTTGTGAACAAGTAAAAACGTAAACGTTACAAGTGAATTATTGGCAAATCTACAAAATAGTAATGGTCTCGTTGTTACTCTGCTCACCGGTCCTCAGACTGAGTATGCTGGCAGGAGTTTGAAATTTGAAGAGATGATGCGGTTTATCAGGGTCCTCCATGATAAATGTGGCTGGGGGGGGTGCACAATACATTTTACTGGCCCACAAACCCATCAGCCCACTGGGAAAATGCCTGGTACGCCAGATGGCCAGTTCCTGCCTGGCAAACGGTCACATGACATTTATAGTGTTACCCCTTTGCTGTAGTGACAGCCCCTTACCCGGTTTTTCTCTGTGCCATTTCGCTTCTGACTTGATCCTTGGTCTTGCTGGTGTATTTGGAAAAAACGAACGTTCTGTTTCATCATAAGGCGACCTCCCCCTGTCCTGTTTCAGCCCATCGTCAAAGTGAAGCCGCTGCTCTGACGGGACCATTACAAATTAGCAACCGACTTCTGATTATGAACTCACCCGGGCTCTATTACAGCAATTAGCCAGAGCTTCCACTAATTACCAGTAACAGTGGGTTCGGGATTTAGGCTTTTACTACGTGGCTGGCAGCCGGTCGGATGAAACCCACTGGCAGCGACCGAGCGAACGGAGCCACCAGCCAGCTGAATCCTAGCTTCCTTAGGCTTGGGTGGTATTACTGTATACCGCGGTATTTTGAAACCTTGGCAACAAAGTAAGCCGTGGGGGTCGGTCCCCAGGATAGATTTCGCTGAAGAGCAAATTAATTTTGGCAAGATTTCAAAATAGGGTCCCTTTTGAAAATACTGTCAAAACATTGTATATCACGGTACAACGTCTGTATGGTATGATGGTATGAAAAGTTACATACCGCCCAAGCCATGCGTTCGCCTGAACCGGGTTCTTCACTGATTATGCTTCAGTGCTTCAGTCCGTCCCTCCCGTTTCCTGGAAAAAGTGACACGCGTGTTGCGTGTAGCTCATGACTGCTCCATTGTTCTTAAACAGGCGGCTGACCCCAGCTTACAGCCTGCTCCGCACAAACCCATGAAACACTGTGGACATCTGAAATGAAGATGGTGGGGGTCTGTTGGTGGGACTGGGGGGGGGGGGGGGGGTGAAGGGGTTGATGGGTAACCAGAAAGATTGTTCTTACTTTCTAAAACACAGGGGCCGGTGACAATGCGTTACTATGGGCAGATTGGCAGAGTAATCTGTTACTCAGTTCATTAACATAGAGCACAGATTGTCTTGAGTAACAGTTGCAACACAATCATCTGATCGCCAAGCTTCAAGCCAACACACGTCCAACGTGCTGCATCCTGAAAGGGTTTGTATTGTTGAGTTCATCCTCATAAACTCAGGCTGGTTGCTTAAATTTAATCCATACAGCTTCCCAGACAATCCTTCCTGAAGTAGGAAACTGTTATATAGCCTGTTTACTATTTAAATTCAGGGTTATTTCAGGTTTAATTAGGGCTGGTGGCCCTGCAATATGTAATAGTGTTCTCTAGGTATATAGAACCATAGCGAAGTTTCATTGCTGGGATTAGTAGGTATGACTCGAATGGACCATACCAGAACCATATGGTAACCAGTCTAGTGGCCTGGTACCAGACAGCACTTCTTTGTACGTAGATTTGACTGTGTGTGATTCATGTACAGCTGCTCTGATTATAGCTCAGAGCTCATTATTATAGTTTGGCAACAGCAGCCGTTATTGATTTTCTTCTTCGGATATATACGATGACTCTAAGAGACTTCTGTGGAATAACTTAATAATTTATTTGCCCAGCAGATGCTTTTTCGTGTCGTGATTTACATGCATTTTGCACTTCATTTGTTCAGATGAATGTTTCAGTGAAACGGCACCGAAATATAAATTTAAGTTGAAATATTACCACCGGTGCAAAGGGGTGGTCCCACATTCCCAGCTCTCACTCACACTCTGACTCTCACACTCATGCAAGAAATCGACATCTTTCCATTGTAAACCTGAAATTAGCTACATCAAAGGCGTTGGGGTAGTTTGCAAACCCTACAGACTAATAAAACTGTTAGATACATGTAAATGCGTGTGCAGACTTGTCTCGAGTTGAAAATCTCACTGCAGCCAGCTGAACAAAGTTGGCAACCCTAGAATAGAGTCTATCCGAACGGTATCCTTTGGACTACTTTGTAATAGACGCGCGTGTTTCCGTAACGTGCGCAGCCCCGCTGCCACCGGCGTAGGGATACTGCCGGAAAGGAGGGCCGGCACCCCAAGGACTTTTGTAGGACGTGCGCCTGTTCGCGCCGTCGGAGGGATATGCCAGCTGGCGCCACGGCTCCCCACACCTGCCCACCGCTGCCGCCTGCTGCCCTTCATCTCAGGCGCCTCGTTGGAATGTTACGTCTTTCATCCTCATTTTTTACATAACCAGTTAAGCATTGTTAGTATAAGCTTCTCTAGGGATTTTCAAAGCGGTGAAGGCTATTTCCCACTTTCTCCGTTCCCTGGTTAGTCAGACAGTTATAGCGATATATATAGCTAGCATTTAAATATAACATTAACTTTATTGTAGTAATAGATAATAGATTAACAATTAAAGCCTGTTAGCTTTTAGTTAAGCTGTACTATAAATTACAAGTAATTGGCCCTCATGCCCCGGAGCTGGGGGTTAAAATGCTGTCTGGTTGTGTGTGTGTGTGTGTGTATATGTGTGTGTGTGTTATGCAGGTTTCCTTCCACGGTCCAAAAACATGCTGTTTGTTGAATTGGTGTGTCTACATTGGTCACAGTGGGTGTATGAGTTCTTGGATAAGCTTCAGGCTCACCATGGCATCGTATTGGATAAAAAGACAGAAGCAGGAATAATAGTTATCCCATGTGTGGTTTTATACAAATATAAGCAGTCAAATAGATTCAAGTGGTACAAGTAGAACATACCTTAGTCACTCTGCTTTATTTTGGCAGTTGTGTCTGTTAGCTGCTGCAGTGCCCCCTGCAGGTAGCTAGCGGTGAAGGTTGTGCCTCTCCTGTTGGCCTCAGCCTTGCAGTGTGTAAAGAAAGCACTGGCGAAAGCGGGGGATGTATGGGATCAGCGCCCTGTCTGCATTTGGCAGCCAGGCGCTGTGCATGAAGCGGTCACTGGCTTCTTATGGTAGGATGTCGTTTTTGTTCTCCTGTTTTCGTCCCTTTGTCAGTAATGCCCCGTTTCACATGTGTGTCTCGAAAAAGGTTCTAAAAACGAGGCCATTCAGAACAAAAAAAATAAAATCTGCCAGTGGTAATTTAATTGGAGTTTTTCAATACAGTCATTTGCATCATGTTAGGTTTGGCCAGCAATATACACCGCCTCCCTAATTTTATCACCAAGTTTTCCACAATAGCATTGCTTTACTGGCAAAATACTGTATACCGCAGTATAATGTGTATACAGAATGGCATGATGAAGAATTAGATACCACCCAAGCCTACATTGTGTCCCTGTGCTTTTGAAGCCTGTGGGACAACTGGTCAGACTGGAGTTAGAGGGAGTGGCATGGATTGGTGCTCGAGGAGACTAGGGCCGCACAATATCATATCGCAATATCATATCGCAATATCATATCACGATATGTGAAATTTCTGCAAGTAACACTGCGATATTTATACAACCAAAAAGCAGAACTTACCTGAAATAAACTATATATCTACGTATATAGTATGTTAAATAGGCTGGAGGCGTTGCCAAGAGTCGTGTCAGCAAACAAACCTGTGCCCACAAATGCAATGTGATTATTGCACATGTGCGTGATACATTGCGTAGCCCTGGGCGGGGGGGGGGGGGGTATCAGAACATCACAATCATAATTCAGTCCCATTGTATTTTGTATTGTATTTTTAGTTCTTAAAGAATGAGGCATTGCCCCCCCCCTTTCACATAGAGTGCTCACTCTGGGCGTGGGGGCAGTGGGGGAGGGCTTCCTAAAGCTGAACAGATGGCCGGCTGGGATCTGGCACTCTGCGAACCCGGGGTACTGCAGCGCACCCTGGAGGGCGCTGTAGAGAGCAGCCAGCAGCACGGAAGACTGGGAACTCCAGTTTCGGAGCGACGTAATCTGGCTCTTATGGCAAACTCTCATCCATTATGCATGTCCATCGAACATGGTTTTGTGCTGGGGAACATTTATCTGAAACAAGCAAGCCAGCAGGCTCTGATGGGACGTGACCTACTTCTCAGTAATACCATCAATTATTTAACCCTGTTCTTCAACGCTTGTTTTTTTTTAAAAATCCTACTGTGAAATGTTTTGGTCATCTGCATTTTGAAAGGGGTGCCATGGCGACTGCTTTCCATGTGTTGCCACGGACACCTGTGAGCCGGTGACTGCTGTAGACGTGCCATGCTGATACATACTGGCACCCCAGAGTATTTTTTTGGGGACTAGGGTTTCAGGAGCCCAATTGTCCTGTGACTATTCGGCTGGATATGGGATTTGAACCAGCAAGCTTCTGATTACAGCCTCAGAGGGTTAGCCCACTGCGCCACACACTGCCCCCTGCCACGTGTTTGTAGGAAAAGAATTTCTCCCTGCTAATCTCAAGGAGAGAATGAAATTAACGCGTAATGTATATTTACTCCTCTGAGGCGGGGGATTCTGTAGGTCACCCCCCCGATTTGTATTGATGTGGACTGCAGTAATTTAGGGGAAAATCATGTTTGATTGGAGCCTCAAGGCACTACCACAGCGCCCACATAGAGGGCCACCCGACCACTGGAGTGAGGAAAATCAATCCTCATATACAGCTTGTCCTTTTTCCGGTCCTCTCTCCTAAACATTTAAGGCACTCAAATCCAAGTCTGAATATTTGTTGGCCTTCGATTTTCTGGTTTGACCGGTCGCCATCTGAGCTGTGAACCAAAGATATCATACACACATTTTTCAAACCTGTTTTCATCAGAACTTGACATAGTTTAAAAATATTTTTTTCTTTTTCGGTGAACTGTGATTGGCCTTTGGGGTAAGACTCGGTCTAATTAATCTGCCAATTAATCTTCTAATCTGCCTTACAAATTAATGTACTTTATTGTTAGGTGGCGCCATTAAAGGAGACCTTGTGTACAGTTTTAGATTGAGTTACAGAAAATATAATTATTACGGTCCTCAGGCATTGCCAGACTCATTCAGTGTAAAGGATTTTTTACATTTGGGGGACACAATATACTTGTTGTTTAATTGGCTGCTGGAAAAATCTGATAAAATCAAGCGTGGTAATGAATTTCCAGGCACACTTGACTTTCATCTTTCTTTGTTTTGTTTGTTAAAATCTAATGGAAATTGAGTTTAGCTGGTTGTATGTTGCTGTGATTTGCTAGAAAGGTCAGAGATATTACTGTAAAACACTGAAGAGAATTCCAGTGGTGTTTTCTCCCTCTGTCCAATTTATTTTCTCTGTTAAAGTATTAAAGGTGAGGAAATGGCCTTTAATCTATCATCTTTTCTAATTCTCACTGGCTGGTGTTCGAACCCAGTGGACACTGAGATACTGAAGACTCATTCTGGCAAAAAAACCTACCCTAATTGATGATTATAACGTGCCACATTGAAAGTGCTGCACAGTTCCTTCTTCAGTGGATCATGGCTAACCGTCTTGTGCTGCCTGCTGATATTTCATTGGGTATCCTTTCTTCTTGGTATGTCGCCATGCTAATTAACTTTGGAATAATCAGTGCTCTTGTGCCAGTTGTGGGATGGATGTGCTGAGATGTGTGACCTTTGGGATTTTTTTGTCAGCAAAATTGCTTCTGGGGGTAAGATTCTGGGCAAGAAACTCTGGCGGCCTCAAGTTTCCAGTAGGATAATTGGTCCTGGCAAAAATCTGTGCAGCAGTAGCGCTTAAAATCATCCAGGGATCCACCAGCTTTTCAAACCCCTACTTAGGTCAGTGTTCATGACTCGACCATCAGGAAATAGCCGGAAGTGCTTATCCGGTGTAGGGTCATAATAAGTCTGGATTCTATCCCAGGAAGCATGAGCAACCTTGTGCAAGATTCCAGGTCACCAGAGCAGACACAATACTAAGAGTGATTTAAGGCTGGTCGCCCTGAAGCATGTCTTTACACTGTGGGAAGACAGTGAATTGATCAGATATGGAGAAAATGCAAAGTCCTCGTGACAAACAGCCAGAGAGGATATCGAACCCTTCAGTGATGCTCAAAGTGCCATCATTCACACTAGACATTATTCCACACATCCGTCTGCCAGCCACGCGCTCTGGGCAGTGTTGTGGGGACCTGGAGCCTCTCCCTTGTAGCAGAGGGCACGTCCTGGATAGGAGGAATGCAGGGTACCTAGAGGGAGACCCAGGGAGAACATGCAAACTCTGCACATGCAGAACAGCGGCGCGTTTCAAGCCCCAGCAGCGTAGGCATGATGCAAATTCTGCTGTGTTTTCTGTTTTCACACCATGTGCTGTATGTGTGGGCAGTGGTGGCTTGATGGTTAGGGTAGCGCACTTGTAATTGAAAGATTGCAGGTTCGAATCCCTGACCAGCAAGGCACCTCTGAAGCCCCCTGGGTAAGGTACCACCCCCAAGCACTGCTCCCCGGGTGCTGAATTAGCTGCCCCCTGCTATGTCACGAAAGTCACATATGGGTCAAATGCAGAGGTCACATTTTGTTGTTGCGCACTGTGTGCTGTGGTGTGTTGACAATGACCACTGATCACTAAATTCTACACATGTAATCCCACTAATTTTAATAACTCTGTCATTAATTTAGTAATGTGTTGCCCCTGATTTTGCCCAGGTAAACATTGTAGCAGCGTGGGTAATTGTTGTGGAGCTTCTTCTGAGTAGTGTGAGAAAAGCCACCAAGTAAGTTTCCTATGGGGGGTGCGTTTTCATTATTGCAAACATAATCTCAAAATGAAGACAAAAAATAAATCGCCTGTATCTGTATCTGTCGCATAGGTCTAATAAAGCAGATATGAGATAAAACTGTTTCACTCCATTATGTCTCCCAACAGACTCATTTTTTGTCAGTTTATGACACTGCTCTTAAAACAGAAGGTTAATATTTCTGGAGAAAAAAAAATCGAAATTTAAAACATATTTAGCAAATGGCTCTGAAAACAGAAGTCTAGAAATCATTGAAAGTTTGCTTAATAACTGGAAAGACCCTAATTTTAAGGTATTACCCGTCAACAAAATAAAACAAATTTTGCAAATTACAATATTTTTAGCCTGTAAGCCGTTTGACAATGTTTTAAAATGAAATGAACCAAGTAACGCTGATTCTCTGCCTCCAGCTAGTTCCCTGTGAGACGCTAACTGAATTCTTTCATTTTAGCTGTGGTTTTGGGGGGTCTTTGCAGCATCACGACTGAAGGGCTTGCATTGTTTACAAGCGGGAAGGAATACTATTGCTTTCTATTAAAAATCTTTATATTAACAATTTTAATATAAAGATTTGACAATATAAAATATGATCGTTGTCGGGTAACCGGGTGTGAGTCAGCCAACTGGTGTCCATCGTAGATGGACGGAGGTGACAATCAGATTCCCGGGGATGGGCAAGGGTCATGTGATTGGCGCCGGGCTTTGACAGGCTCGGCAGGTTTTGGGGTCGAAGGAACGAAGCAGAGGTCAATACAAAAGAGAAGCAGATTCGGAAGAAAATGCTCAAACTTTCACCATGAAGATCTCGCAACAATCATCTGAGCCTGACCTCCTCAAATAGGTGACTGATTTGGGGGAGATGGAGAGCAGCAGAGAAGAGGAGGCACCTCTGCAGTCATGAGGAGGTTGGGTTCTCCCAGTCAGGAGTATCTGAATGACGGGGATTCCCTTGGGGGCGTGGCCATGGTGATGCAGGTGGGATACCTCTGGGGTGGTCCCTGGCACTTGTGTCCTGTGCGTTCTGGGCCCTCCCCCCTCCCAATGACCCCGGCCAGGATAGGCAAGTAGAAGATGATTATCGCCATTAAAACTGGAATGGGTGGCCTGTTCGATGGTGTCCTGTTGATTATTTGAGACTGGAGACCATCATCTGAGTTCGATGGTGTCCTGTTGATTATTTGAGACTGGAGACCATCATCTGAGTTCGGTGGTGTCCTGTTGATTGCATCCTGTCTTTCGTACCTTTATTTCATCCTGCACTGAGCTGATTGTCAGGACAGGAGAAGAAGAAGCAAGCTAGTTTTACCTGAGATATAATTGCCTAAGAGGAAAGCAAATTGGTTTCCATCTAAATGCAAATTTTATTTTATATTTTCTCCTTGTATTGGGTAAAATGGGACAGTGAATGTGTGGACACGTCCAATATGGTGCACGGATGCCTTAAGCTGCATGTATTTAACGCCGTGGGCCGCGTGGAGAGCGTGTTTGGGCAGCGTGATGCGCTAACCCCAGCCTGTGTACAGTGCAATGCTCTCCCTTTTGAAATGTCCGCAGCGTGCCTCTGTATTTACTGGCTGTGAACAAACACAAGATTAGGTTGTTTAAATGATTAATATCTCTAATGACTTGCTAATAAGGTCTCTGAACAGTCCCTGTGTCATAAAAGGTTTTTTAATAATGTTTAACTTCACTGAAGTCTCTAGCACTATCAGCCAGATGTGTCAATTAGCAGCATTGCAACTGGCTGGTGGTTGTGAGTTTGATTCTTGATCTCCACCTCTGTGTGTGTGTGGTTTACAGCTCCTCCCCAGATTCTCTGGTTAGGTGTTTCGGTTGCCCGTAGTGATGCGGTGCATGTCCTGCGACCATGCATGTCCTGCGACCGCGTGTGTCCTGCGACCATGCGTGTCCTGCGACCATCCCGTCCAGGTGTCTCCTGCACCACCTGGCACAGGCTGCAGGTTCAGTGTGACCCTCTACTGGATGAGCAGTTAAGGAAGATGGATGGATGAATCGGGGCGAGACGCTCCCGCCTCTTCCATGGGATTTGAAAGTCACCGTGGAAAGTCGCAGCGTGCCAAGCGGCGGGAATGCCGTTTATCTTCCTCTTAAGGACCCTGTTCCGCCTGGCTCCACGAGACCGGAGCTCAATAAAGACGGCGGCGGTCACTGTGGGCGCCGCGGCGCTTGTTTGTTGCACGTTATTGGTGTGGAATTTAATGCGGTTTCGGTAATTACGCTCATTACCTCTGGCTGCACGCGGCGGTCTTGACGCTTAAAGCTTGTAATTGAAAGTGATTGGGGAGCCGTCCCATCTTCCCCAGCTGTGGGGGGGGGGGGGGGGGCATACGTGGGTGGCCGTCTTCCTCGGATGAGACCGCCGTCGCCCGTCAATCCCGCTGGCCCGCAGAGGAGCGGAAAACTAATTACAGCTAATATCCAGGAAAATTCCAGTCCGTGTCCTCCGCACAATGCCTCTAACCAGAGGTGTGGCGTACAGCTGTCATGACCCTCGCTGGGTCGCATGCGCGAGCTCCCCGATCGGCCTCATCGCGGCCGCTAATGAAAGCCGGCGAGCGGATTTGGCGGGCGGCAATGCCAGCAAGAGGCACCTTTCTAACCGGCTCGTGTCAGCTACCACGCTCTCACCCAGGCGGATGTGCTAGTGTGTGGGTGCGTAGGTGTGTCGCTGAGCCTGGGTATGTGAGTGCGTGCGTCTGTGTGCCTGTGCATGCGGGGGTGGGGTGGGGGGGGGTGGAGCTGAGTGGCAGAGCCCCGTCCCCCTGGGGATGGCCGTCCCCCTGGCCTCTCCAGGCAGACTGACAGCTCTCTCAGGCTGGATGCTCAGAGATCTATTAGCGGGCCCATATCAGCTGGACCGCCTGCGTACGGATGACAGGAAGTCAGGCTTCTGACCAGAATATCCGAATTTTAATATTTATAAATTCTGGTCAAATGTAAATTTCCCCAGACAGCTAGTGAGTTTACAGAATATTCCTGAGGCCGAGGATGAGCTGCACTTCACTGTGTGGGATACATCTGTCACACTGGCGCTAGGGGGGGGGCGACCTGGTTACCCACGATGCATCTGTCACTGGCTGCAGCGAATGTGTCCGTTGTCTGTTCGCTGCTCTGCAGTCGCGGCGATGTCCCGTGGCTCGTTCTGCCCAGGGAAGGTGCTTGTCAAGGCCGGTGACGATTGTGTCGTACCGTCGTCATTCCCCTCTCCTGTCCCATGTGGACTGAGCGTGACATCGCCGGGCTGTGCCTGTAACGGTCTCTCCTCCGTCTCTCCCCTCTCGCCCAGAGAACTGCTGCTGACTCTGGCCCTGGGTCAGGTCCTCTCTCTCCTCATCTGCGGCATCGGCCTGACGAGCAAGTACCTAGCGGACGACTTCCACGCCAACACGCCCGTCTTCCAGAGCTTCCTCAACTACATCCTGCTGTTCCTGGTCTACACCACCACGCTAGCAGTGAGGCAAGGTACGCCTGAGCGGCCAGGGGCCGGAACCGCGGGGCTCGGTCCTCAGGGTCCCTGTGAACTGCACTTTCTCCCTCCACATCTATGCGGTGTACGTGAATGTCTTGAAAAAATTCCAGGGTATTGGAAAATAAACTATGCAACGGACCCAGTACACCTTTTACTCAATTTTGACACAAGTAGTTTCATGCACGGAACAGCAAGTAGTGGAAAAACTCCCCGTTACCAAAAAGGCAGAATAAAAAATCTTGAATGGTTACTGTTGTACCCTTGAAGAGAGTCCATGTCGTGATTTTCTTCAGTGAAATTTACATATTTATTTGTGTGTATATACACACACACACACACACACGCACGCACGCACGCACGCACGCACGCACACACACACACGCACGCTAAATAGCCCGCTATGTAGATCGTACTTGATGAGATAGTCTAATTACAGTGCACAGTGCACTGCTCTGTGCAGTAGATGTTCACTGGAATAGCAGTGGGCTGGCTCAGCAGGTAACATGGCAGCCTCGCGCCGCCTCAGCTGTGGGTTTGAATCCTGCTCCCCACCCTCTGTGTGTGCAGTTCTCTTTCTATTGAACTGGTTTCTCACCCATAGATGCTGGGCCAAAATATATCAGGTGATGCTTTAGTCTACAAGGCAGACATCCATTTGTGTTAATCTGGAAGTATATGCAGAGTAAAGCATGTGTAATTATGGTTTCAAGCAGTAGTACGCAAACATTTAACTGGGACTATATGCACTGTATATGCACTGTAATCCAGTCTAGGACATCTTGCCTCGTGCTTCCTGGATTGGGCCTCAAACTTTGCCTCATGATGGATAAACAGTGATTGAATCTGTGTGAATGATAGCAATGAAATATTCTCACGCGCAGAACGGAAGAAATGTGTGACTAAAATTGCACGCTTACGAATTTCATCCATCCGTCCATTCTCTATACCCGCTTGTCCTATGCAGGGTCACAGTGGTCTGGAGCCAATCCAGACTGGCACAAGGCAGAGAATAACCCAGGATGGGGCGCCAACTCACCGCAGAGCATATATACCATTCACACCTACGGGCAAGAGAGCATGCAAATCCACACACATAGAGCTAGGGCAGAGACTAGAATCCTGGTCCCAGAGGCATGAAGTTACAGTGCCGCCCCCTTGCCAATTTTATGAAGGTTATAATTTCTATATAAAAACCAGGAGGTGGAGCATTTAAAGCTGTTCTCTTGTCTAGATTGACCTGAACATTCAATGAAATATTTATCAGAGATGGGATCTGAATAGAACAGCGCATTGCCGCTACATCTCAGACGGTCATATCGAACCGCCGCAGTGCTTCACGTATGCATGGCATGTGGCGCCCCCCTCTGGCCTGACACGCTAGTGAAGGTGAGCTCTCAGCACGTCTGAACGGGCATCTGTATCTGCCAGGCAAACCTTTGAAGGTGTCCCCTGCAAATCGACCGCGTCTGTATCTGTGTCTGAATCCCTGAGCTGCCAGTGTCAGTTACAGCCAGTGTATGTATGTTTTCCCTGTGTTTTTAATACCAGATTTCAAGTGAACTGGAAGAAAAAACACATGAACTTATAGGCTTGGGCAGAACCAAATTTGTGAACCGTCACACCGTCCACACATTCTCCCCGCTAATAATTTTTCGTCATAAGAACGTTAACCGAACGTTACAATTAAGCTATAGAAATATTCAAAGTGTCCAGTTTTCTTAACATTCCCTGAATGTTCTCTCACTACTACATGAGTTCGAGGCTAGAATGTGCATTCGCCGTATAGACATATATACAATAATATTTTATTATAAAACAATATGCTTCAACAAGTTAAAAGGATGTTCAGGTAATAATATTAACATGCTGGCATTGACAGAACCCTTTTTAAAATGCAAAACGTGGAAATAACGTTCCATTAACGTTACTTCAGCATCAATCTCTGCCATCTTTGAGAAGACCTTTACATAGCATTGGCTAAAGTTCTGGGAACGTTCCTTCATACCTGGGCTACTGTTTTTTAATGGTATTTTCAAAAGCATCAGTATTCTGGTGCTTCGAAATCTTACTGATAAAGTACTGGGGGGGGGGGGGTCCCCACAATAGCATTTCTTGAGCTGGGGGGTATGTATTTCACTGAACGGCAGAGTTTCTTATGGTGATCAACCCCCCCTCCCCAGTTCACTCGCTTATTTTTGTCACCGAGATTTCAAAACAACACAGTATATTCAAAATACCACGGTATTGTCGTAATATCAGCCAAGCCTAAGCTTGCCTTGTGTATTGTTTTTACCTGCCCACTTCTCTCTTAAGATTAAAGGGCATCTTACAGATGAAACACTGGAATTGGTGCTTTGCTCGAGCCTCCTGTGTGAAGAGTTTATGGCTGCATGTTGAGTGCTTTGTACATTAAACCCTTCAGGACATTTTGGGGCGGATCTGTTATTCCCTGTGCCTTTTCTTAGCGTCCCACACTCTGTTCCTCGGATTCTGAGGCTTCATGCTTTGCGTATTGTCTTGGAAATTTGACTTGAAGTACATCACACAATGAAATGCGTCCTCAAGAGCCTCTCGCAGGCTGTCAGTTAACAGCAACATGAACAATGAGTGAACATTACGCAGCAGCCTTGGACAATGACAACAGGAGCGGCAGCAGAGACAGAGAAACAGGAGCGGTATCTCGGAAACAGCACGAGCGGTGATGATGAACAGAATGTGCACGTGGACGGCGGTTTATGTTACACTACTGCGAGTGTCCTTATGGCTTATGTGTAGCTTGTATCACAAGCTTGTTTCTGAAGCTTGTGGTTTTACTGTTAGAATGGAGAGAGAACAGCAGATGTGCTGGGTGACTCAGATGACTTCTGAATGGCAAATTTTATCATGGGGAACAAACCCCCCCCCCCACTCAGCTAATTTTTACATCAAAACAGACACTGCAGTATACCAAAAATATCACAGTACACCATATTAATACTGCCCTCCCCTGCCCTCTGGTCCCAATATTGTCACGGTCCCCATGTTGAAAATGTCCTGAAGTGATCAGGCTGTGACCCTGGTGATGGTGTGGTCTTCACCACCCTCTCCAAAGCTTCTCTCCGGTCTTGATATTGCCCTGGTCCCCCATATTATTGCCTCATTCTAAATATCATTTGTGATTTAGCTAGCGGGGGGATTGGTGGCTCTGAAGCTAGGGGTCTGTCCCAGTAATCTGAAGGTTGCTGGTTCGAATCCCATGAATGCCCCAAGTGGTCCTACTTCACTGGGCCCTTGAGCAAGGCCTTTAACCTGCAGTTGCTTCATCCTGGGAATGATGTTAATCTACATCTGGCCCAGCAAGGAGGTCCTTCAAATTACAGGGCAAATTTGGGGGTTGGTGGCAGGATTGGCACTGCAGCCACTGGAAAAAAACTCACACCGGTCCATTTGGACTGGTGTGGCGCTGAGGTTATCATCCACTGCATGGCTGCACTCAAGTTCTCATGCCTGAGGTGGTTTGTCTTGTGGCTGGTGCGGCAACACGCTGTAATCAGCGTGTGCTCCTTACCTCACCCTTGTGAGTTAATCACTCTTCTATATCCTCTGATAGAATGTTCTGGATGTATCTGGATCAGAGCTGGCTCCCCATGATGACATGGAAATTTCATCATGATCCCCATGACGACGGGCGGATAGGGGGGTGGAGGGGGATGGGTACAAAAGATTAGGCAAACGTGTCGTCCGCTGAGACCGGGACCTCTGCCGTTAATGAATGAGCGAGCTTGTTAACCCGGGGCGGGCTGCCTGGCAGCGCCCCCCACTGGACGGCTTCTTTAAATTGGACCGGTAGTCTGCTGTTTCGTGTTCAAGGTGGGCGGGAGGGGAGATGTGCCAACATCGCTCAAAAAAAACAGGCTCTGTGTTTCACTGGCAATTCTCTGCATTTGGTCCTTTACACTGTAAATACAGAGGTGTGTAGTCCTGATATACACTGCTGTAATATAACCCGATCCCTAACCCTTTACACGGTAAATACAGAGGTGTGTAGTCCTGAACAGCCCGCGGACTGTTACCCATCCCTCATTGCAGTGCCAGATTTGCCTGTAACCTGATCGCTGTACACAGCGGCTGTTGGCTTGACAGCTAGTTTTTATACCAGCTTAGACCTGCTTTGGTAGAATGACACAGACAGTTTGCCTCAGTATGACTCCCATAGCCCACCCCCAAGACACTCTGGCCCCAGCCATGCCCCCCTATGCCCCCAACCTTGACATCCTGACCCCCGTCTGTCTGCTGGGGAGGTGGGGGGGGGCAGATGAACAAGACGGAGGACCTTACTGCCACTCCCGGCGAGATTCGGATTCTCACACTGAACGACTTCACGTTGTGCCCCTGAGCTTCATTATTAATTACACCAGTTTCATTCTGCTAATTGATAGTAACGATGTTTCTGACTAAAACGATGGGCTGTCTCACATTATTAGACTCAAGTTGCATCACAAGAATTACAGAGCATGAGAGCTTAATCGTGGTCAAGGATATTAAAGACTGTATATCAGGGACACCTGTCATGTTCTGGAAATTTCCACCTTACTGAAGCTGGTGGCACAAATGGTGCTTGATCTGGGGGCTCTGGGCCATTTTGTGCTTCCCCTATATCTAAACCTGGATAGATGATTGAAGCTGCCGGACGTTTCTAGAAGCAATGTCAGCAGTCCTCCTACTGGAAGCTAAGGGTGCAGCCTGGCGGTCTGCGAGCGCGTCGCCTTCACCGTTACACCACCATTGCCCACGAACGCAGTCTTCTTTCACGGCGGCACCATCTGTTACGGAACCGCTTTGGCACACCGCGCGCCCTTCGAGATCGCCGTCGCCTCTCAGCATATGGCCGGCTTGGACCTTCCGTGGTCAGAAAGCCCGCAGATAAATGAGTGATGTCACTAAGACTCCCCGGATGGCTCCAGGAGGGGGTGCCGGTTGGGGGGGGGGGTTGTCAGATCGACTCCAAGACCTA